GGGCAGAGCACAGATAGCCCATGTGTAGCTTTGTGCATAATTAAAAACAAACAAACAAACAAAGATAAATAATATTGTGTTTTCAATTTAACATAGGAACCCACAGGTAACTAAGCAAGCGCTCGCGTAAATGCATATTATTAATATGTTACTGGCCTTAAAATAAATCAGCTATATATGTTAGATTTGTTAAAAATAGTTTTTTAATGCTGATTTTTTTCATATTCACCATTTTTTAAATATTCATTGATTATAAAAAACGTGAATTAAAAAGAATCAATGCATCAAATAACATGATAGAGCTAATAAAGAAAGGATATTGACCAGTGAACACTGGTTACCATGACAGCTAATAGTATAGTCAATGTTATCAGTATCGCGGTCTCAAGTAAAAGAGATGCTCTTTGTTTATTATCTCTTTCTAACTTCTATTCTTTTGAGACCACATAACACGACCGCAGAACGTGGCGTATTAATGAATACCGATCAGTTACAAATCTTTGTATAAAACGTTTATACAGTGTTAAGCTGGCTACAAGTGTATCGAACGTGACGTTCTATATCTAACTTTCTTAGTTTTCAGTAATTGTTTATCTCTCCTCATTGCTATTGTAACACAAACATTCACACAATGTTACGGATAAGTCCAGTAAACAAAAACGTATTGACTAGACAGTAAAGATATTGAATAAGTTAAAGAAAACATTGCATTTGTTAAAAATGTTGTTCTAGTTTACAAGAGAAAACTGGGAACGACTCACTTAAAATTTCGACTATAAGTGGTACTTTAAAAGTGTTTGAATGGCATTTGATTTATTGTAGGTATTAGAATCGTTCCAATATTATTAACTAAAAGGAGATGAGGCAAAATAATTGTTGTCCTGATTAAATTTTTAACAGTACATTTTATCAAAAATGACGCATCGTTATGCCAGGATATGCCACTACTCGATGTCATTAGGTGACATTACTTATCTGAGGAGAAAACAAAAATATAATATTGTTTTAATCCCTAAAAGATGTCTGAATATAGAATCTTAATTCAAATAATTTACCAATTATTTGTATTCATAGAGCTGAAGTAGGGATTTTCCTGGAATTTGAAATATTCATGTTTCTGTTCTATCAGCAGTGAAAGAATTAAAATGAATTATCTTAAAAATACACATTATGAAGTCAGAATCCTACTGAGTTCGAACACTGTTTATTGACATTTATGATGTTTTAAGTGTTATATATTAGCGTCGTATATTGATATATTAGAGTGTGACATCATTCAGTGAAATGTTGTACATTAAATCGCTATACTATGATATTCTAATACTGTAATATAAAGCAATGTCATACATTGAGATAATAATGTCAAATATTGAATAAATATAAACTCATGGATCGGTATCATGTAGTTTCTATTCTTTTATATGAACCTAACATTGATCTTATTCGAAGCATTTTA